GGTTGTCAGACGTACTCAGATAAGTTTTCAATGTTGATTTATTATTCTGTTGCGGGCTTATAGATCATGAACCTTGTCGAAGCTCTGGAGAAAACATCATCCTTAGCTTTGAATTCTACCTCTACAACTAATCAAAGCATTTTGCTGCGCAAGAAAAACATAGGTAAGATTATAGATCACCGTTATTAGACTAAGATAGCGTTTTATATGTGAACATCTTTACCTATGAACGTGTTTGTAAACCATATTTTTTTTTTATGAACATGTTTGCTACTTGCACTGTTAGCAGTGCAAGCTAGGCCGATTACAAAGAATAAAAGGCTTTACAAAATACTGGGCATTAGAAAGACATTTTTCACGTTATCTTAACAATGATTTCTTCTTGATTTCTTCCTCTAAGAAAAACCTGATCGTAGGCTGATTGTACAAAAAACCGATATGACCTGCTGCCGGTATCCCTAGCATCAGTTATGGTATAATAACCTTTCATCCGTAGCTGATTTATGGATTTTTCTTGTAGACATGATCACCACTGTAAATTACATCAATTCAAGCGGCAGTTTAACGATTCCTGATCCTAATAAACACGTTCGGTCAACTGCCTCAATAACCTTTCAAGCAAGCGGCTTTTCTGGCGACACGGGTAAGGATACACACGGAGGTGAGAGTCCATTTATTTAGCACACATTTTATAGCATTGTACATAAGATCCAAATAGATGATTGCCGCGCTCTCGAACCAAGAATGTAATTATTTTCCCCCGGTAGAATCGTTTTTTTTTTTTTTTTGATAATGATAATGTGACAAAGAAAATAAACAACATTTCCACATTATGCACTGACAATTACATCTAAAGCTTGGAAAGAATCCTCTTCTTACATTCTTTTTTTTATGAAATGCCATTTAAGCGGCACAAGCGAAGCTGACAGAACAACTCGATGGTCAGGCTAACGGCTTCTTTGCATGAACTGTTCTTAACAGTCATTTACGCCGTCTTGATGCCAGGGCCTGAGAAAACAAAACAGCTGTTCGTGGCTTGTAATTTGACAGTTCGGGTTTTCCACTTTACTGCTCGCCACCACCATCCTATGGATGTCATTTATCTCTTAGTTCTAACAGTGGCGGATCTAGGGGAGGAGCCCGGGCCCCCCGGGCCCCCCCTTATTTTGGGTG